AAAATATCTGTATGACAGTATATTCTGCAGTTCTTCCCTGCTGTACCGAATATCTATACTTTTCAAAGTATCATATCGAAGTTCGAAATTCAGATATTGTGACAAAATAAATTTTGTAGGGTGCCACAAATTTGTTAATTTCCAAAGGGTGCCGTGACTAAAGAAAGGTTGGGAAACACTGCTCTACGTTATGGTTGCTCTCTCTGTATCACGCACAGTGGAGTTCCGCGCCGATTTTTAAGGAATAATCATACAATATTTCTTCAATGTTTTAATTGTAATATTAAATTACCTTTATTTTCCATTAAATAAAATTTGTTTAATTTTCATTACTTAAAGGATTTTATGCCTTAAAAATGTAAATACACAATACAGAATTTCTGAGCAAAAAATCATAAGGCTATTGTAAGAATAAATGAAACTTGTTTTTATGCTTTCAAATAATTAGACATGCTAAATCAGAATTTGGTAACAATAAAACACAAGGTTGGAAAAAATAAAACGTAATTTTTGTTAAACTTTTAATAAATTGATGTTTCCCCTAGCCGGGGACCTAAACCTAGGGGAAAACACTGCATTATGATGTATAATAAACATTTCCTATCACATAGTATTCTATTCTGGAACAAATTAGCTTTTTTTCGAGATTTTTAATGCAGATATTTGTGTGTGTGTGTGTATTCTGCAGTTCTAAAATATTGATTTAATGTTATACACAGTAATTGTTCTGCTTACATTTAGGCAGAACCGTCATTTTTTTTGTATTAATTTGAAGTGAAATAATTAAATTACTGTGTACAACATCAGTATTTTAGAACTGCAGAATACACACACACACAAATATTTGCATTTATCTCGAAAAAAGCGAATTTGTTCCAGATTTGAATACTAGGCTATGTTAGGGCTGGACAATAATTCAATATCAATATGTATCACGATATAATTTTTTTCAATAACGGTGATATGATTTTTAAACACATTTCCGATATTTCGATATACATTACCAGTTTCCCATACATTGATTTTTTTTTTTCAGGATTCTTTGATGAATAGAAAGATCCAAAGATCAGCATTTATCTGAAATAAAAAGCTTTTGTAACATTATACACTATTCCATTCAGTATAATTTTTATTATTTTTTTGGGAAATAAATTATAGAAATTAATACTTTTATTTAGCAAGGATGCTTAAAATTTATCAAAAATGATGATAAAGGCATTTATAATGTTACAAAATATTTATATTTCAGATAAATAGTGTTCATATCGATATCGGAATTATATCGTATCGACTGAAATTAAGAAATATATCGTGATATCAATTTTGGCCATATCGTCCAGCCCTAGGCTATGTGATAGGAAATGTTTATTATACATTATAATGAACTGCCAGAGATTGTGGTGCATGTGAATTGACTCTTTGAAAAAAGCAGAGGGGGGGATGATTTTGAAAAAATTTTTTCCGAGAAAGGCTTTAAAGTAACCTAATGTTAGTGTAATCTGTTAAAGCACATCATAAACCCGTCTTTTTAAGTACCAGATAATGTGTGTCATGTCACAAAATGTTTTAATACGACTGAAACTGTAGGCTATTTAACGTGATCACAATTTAATAAAAACATTAGGCCGATTAATTATTTAATTTCAACGGTTATCCAAACAACTAATAAATTATATAGGAAAGTGAGCAAAGAACATTTACAGTATCAACGGAGCTTTTTGAAACTCTGAATCAGTTAAACCATTGCGTCGCAAAATGATTCACTTTTTTGAAGCGCTCCAATCGGATCGCGTATCGGGACTTCAAAGCGCGTATCGCGAATCATTTGATTCAGATGTGGACTTCGGCGCTGTTCGTGGGATGCACGAACACCCGGCAAATGACTTTTTAAAGTCGTTCTAAAATAGGAACCAAAGCGCGATTCTCTATTAGTCCTATAGATTCAGTTTTCTACATATTCTGTAGCTTATTGTGAATAAAAAAAAACATCTGTGTGGAGTTTGTATGTTCTCTCTTTACTTTTTATTTTTTTATTATTATTGTGAAGTGAAAGGAAAGGAATGAATAGCGATTCTCTCTCTTTGCGTGGACACAAAGACCTCTTAGCAAAGTTATTCGTAGTCGAGTTCGTGGTCACCAGGATCAATGGCATGGATAAATTTGAGTTATTATTAGAATAATCCTGGCCTGTCCCTGCTCTCTTGGCCGCATGGCAGGCTAATAATTGTATGGCTGTGGTCCATTAAACGTGTATGAATAAACATTTACAATTTCCTCAGCTTCTGAACTGTCATTGTGATCCATTGTTTTCCTACTGTTTAAATTGACCGCACTCCCTCCCGTTACGTCACTTCCGGTTTTGGCATTTTTCAGATGCGGAAGTTACATTTTCTCACAAAAACGTCTCTAGAAACCTCAAGTAGCGTATTTAGAAGTATATTTGAAAGAAAATCTAGTTCCTACATTATTTTTCTATGCATTGACTCAATGGGTCTCTAACCTGCAATATGCACTTTAAAAGTCAGGTGGATTAAACTGTTGGTGGTTTGCTACTGTATCTTTAAGACTTGTATCTGCAAATTACCTCACTTCATGAGAAGTTCATACGTGGTTGTTTTCATGTGTACATGGTTGTGATGTCAACCAAAGCCAATTACTAGGAGGATTGCATATAAAGCATAACCAAAAGACAAAGAACAAATGAAGCACAGTTTTACTGAATGTATGATTGCATTGTCCATGGTCAGTATGGTCATTCATCACAATCGCTTTAAAAGTTCATCACAACTGCCACTAGGGGCAAATTGCCACAGCCGTTACCAGAGTTCACAGCCAGTGAAACTGCAGCTTATGTATTAGACTAACTCACTGCGGTTTACAAACTATTGGCTTAAATGGTTCCCTCTTAACTTTGATCCCAGCTTTTGAACTATGACATTGATTATTATTTAGGCTGCTAATATATTATTATTATTATTATTATTATTATTATTATTATTTTGGCTGTTGACCTTTTGAGATATTTGAGGTTTACCTTGAGTTTTTTTAATTTTTTTATTTCACAAATGTTTTGCCTTCAGCCCCCTGCCCTTTTTTCATATAA